GAGCCACCCTCCCTTAAGGATCCTATAATAGGCTGACGGAAAGTCTGCTCTATCGCAGCATCAAAGCACCAGATCCTGAAGGAAGGGTCTCACCACGAGTCCGACCATGGACAGCGAGGGAATGCAAGGTGCACATATCGGGTTTAGGGTTTAGGGGGGTATGGGACTATACTAACCCTAAGGCTCCAAGTACTCATATTTTGAGGCGTTTTGGGCCCAAGAAGGCCATACTATGAAAGGCTTTTGGGCCATTTTGAGCCTTCAATAAGGAAGCACTTCTCAACGGTGAGCCCTCTCCGAAGACAAACTGCGGAAACCCCCCAAGACCACTGTTGATTTCCTGGGGTTTCGGTGCAGATTTTGGGGAGCCTACAAAGACAGCGACGCATGGAAACGCAATATGGTAGATACCCTTCTTAATCCCCACCAAGACCCGAAAGGACATACCTTTCTAAGGACTCATATAAGGAAGTCATAATAAGGCTACCTGAATAGGTTGTTTTTTTTTTTTTGGGGGGGGGTCCGGGTAGGCCATACCCCTGCAAATCTTGAGGGCTTGATGAACGCTTCAATCCACGAACCCTCAACTGCGCTGTCGTGCTCACTGATCTCATCTCAGGACCGCACGGTAATGGTGGTCGGCGGCGGCCTGAGTTGCATGGCGGGTGGAAGATGGCTCCATTTTAGGACTATTGTGGGGTGTGTATGTTTGCTGTTGGGGATACTCGTACAGGAACCCTGCTACTTACGCTCCCCCGGACATGGGGCTATCGAGATAGGGGGGTATTTCGTAAGAACCTTCTAAACCCTAAACCCTAAACCCTAGCATGTTTATATGCTTCCTGGTCCAGGGCTCGAGGTTCCAAAACTTTTCCTTCCCTGGAGGCCCATCGGAATTAGCAATACCCCAAGTCCTGAGTAAGTAACAGAAAGTTAGTACACTTACGTACACTTTTGGGGGATAGTCTTATCCCCGATTAAACTAAAGGTTTGCAATCTTTTTGGCTGATGAACTCAGCAACTAAGAGCCTAAACCTCAAAATCCGAGACCCTTAAACCTTGTACCGTACCCCAAACCTAAAGCCTAAGCCTAAAACCCTAAACCCTTTAACGGGGTTGGGTTTTGGGGAGTTTAGGGTGCTTAGAGAGTGTAGGTTTAGGGTTCAGGGTTTAGGGTTTAGAGTTTCGGGTTTAGGGGGTTTAGGTTTAGGGTTTAGGGTTTAGGGGGTTTGGTTTTCGGGGGTTTAGGGTGTTAAGGGTTTGGGTTTAGGGTTTAGGGCCCTGGGTTTACGGGGTCTAGGGTTTATCAACAAGTAGAACAAACGTCCCATAAAGGCTTCATCTACGGGGTCTAGAAGGGATCGATAAAGCTTTGGGGTCCATTCCTGGGTTCAAGGTTTAGGGTTTGGGGTCCATGACTCAGTACTGTGCTGATCATTTCAATCCTAAGACTCTGAACACGAAATGGGGGTTTCCGAAAATAGGGACCCTAATATAGTACCCCAAATAGTAGGATCCTTATTATAACGACCCCAAAATAAAGTACCCTAATTTTCGGAAACTCCCATATGGGGAGTCCCCTAAATTCCGAGCTGCGCAGAAAGCTGCCTTCAGAAGCAGAAGGGACTTAATCCTAGTTCTGAAATATCCACTCTTTTAGCTTTTGGGTTCTTATAACTTAGACCTTTTTGACTTTTTGGGTTCTTATAACTTCGACCTTTTTAACTTTTTGGGTTCTTATAGTTGTAATCTGAAAGTTAGCCTTTCGTTTCCATGGTTTGTTGGGGAAGTAGGTAAGTGCCAATAAAGCCGACATAAAGCCCCAAGCCCCGTTCGGCCCGAACCCTTCTAAAACGGTTGATGATTTGGGGTTTCCTCGGACCTCATACCTCGTTGCAAACACCAAAAGTAGTGTGATCCTAAACCCTAAACCCTAAACCCTAAACCGTGGTATGGCCTCCGAATGCTAGGGCTGAGCACCCGGGCGGACGAGCGGGACGTCTTCGAGTTTTTCTCTGGAAGGGCGGGCGTGGTGGCGCGCTCGAGTTACGGGTTTAGGGCTTTCGGGGTTTAGGNNCCTGAACCCTAAAACCCCAAACCCAAGCGAGTGAGGCTACCAGGGCTTACAGGGTCACTTGAAGAGTCGAGTCAGTGCCTACATCCCGGCCCAAAACATTGAACCCTAAGGGTTTAGGGCGTAGGGTTTAGAATGTAGGGTTTTGGGATCTACCAAAACCTGAGCCCGGCTGTGGTTGTAGGTGTTTGTGTCAACGTTTCGAGACCATTGGCTTTGCTGGAAGAGCGGGAGACGTCATCAACGCATGGGGCTAAACGTTTTTGTATGGAAAACATGAGCATTCATATCACTCTTTATCAATGTAATGCTGCTATACAAGCATATGATACTGTACATATACATGCATGCATGTGTATCTATCTATCTCTGTAGAGAGAGACAGAGCGATAGAGAGAGTGAGAGTAATCCCTGGCCGCACTACTACTCTACTTCTCGTCAAGCTCCTGCAGCAAGGGCCTGGTTCCAGTTGGGCTGGTTAGGGTTTAGGGTTTA